TTATTTGAAGAACTTCCACATGAAATCTAGTATTTTGAGCAATGTCTTGAAAACATACTGCACTGTTTTATCCTTCTTCGACTGCATGCGGAAAAGATTAACTTCACCCTGGCACGTAATGCAAGTCTGAAGCCTTACAGCAAGGTGAAGTATGCCAACGCTTTAATGAATGCCCTAGCCGAAACTATGTTTGTGCTACTTCAAGTCTGGATTTGGAATTATTTGGACTAGAATTTTCCGTAGCACGACACACTCAGCAGTGAGGTGCATTGGCAGGTGCCAAATTAATTCGCTTTAAATGTTTATTTTAAAACTTAAACAACTAGGACACTACCTTTTTCTCGCCCACTCGTTCGTTTTGACTCATTATGGCTTCAAGGCGCCTGTTCAGTTGGATTCATAACAAGAGTCAAGGCGCTTGAATGCAACAAAGTAGTTAAACCATAGAGACCGGTTTATCCTAACATTTTTCCTTAATCGGTGTTTTGGGCCGCCTGTTTTGCTTCACTGGATCATTAATGCAGTTCTTTTGGAAGTCAAGTTCTTTTCAGATCACATTTTCACCTAAAATACTCCTAAAGTAACCGTTTCATGAATCCATGTGTTTTTTAAATGCCGACTTCGTACCACCAAAACCGAACAGTATGAGGCTTCAACTTTGAAGTTTGATGATGCGATTCGACTCTTCAATTGTCCATTGAAAATCCTATCTGGTAGAAAATTAAACGAGTGAAAGAACGCCTCATTCAGTCATGTTGATCATAAAAGTGTCAGGTAAAGAGGGAAGGAGAAGCATTTTCCACCAAAGAGTGGAAACGTTACTTTGCTAAAGGCTTATAATTGCCCTGTGAACAAAACATACCAAACAGCATTGGCGTCTAATTTTATTTTTAAAATATTGGAGTATTTTCTGTACAACTCATCACTTTCTGGATGAATGGAAGTGTTATTTCGGTGGTCAGACCCATGACCATGAGTCTTTGCCACCTCAAGGTGGGTGTTGATGTGTGCCAGTTGAGCATGGGATTATCTTATTGCTGCTTTGCCTTATTGTCGAGAGTGCAGCTTCCACTTTCAGTGAGTATACAAAGTGGGGAAAATGCTTAAAAAATGTCATCTTCTGGGGCCAAATTTGGGGTCAAGCCTACTAACCTGTCCAACGATGGTGCTGCTTCTTACAACGAGGTTTGAGGCGATCAACATGACTGGGTCTGCGTCTGGCCTTGCATTTGCCACAATTAAAATTGTCTCTTAAAATAAGTCATTAGTTAAAATAGTAGCAGTTAAAAAAGGCATCTAGTTTATTTTGGCACGGAAACGCCCATAAAGATGAGTGGTGTATTGGGTGTGACAAGACTGACTGAAGCTACCAAACGAAGCAATATATTTGCCTTGTTCCGGATTTGCATTGGTTGATGGTGTGCATGATTATTCTTTCCAACTGACCAAAATGTCAGTGAATTATTTTAATAGCACGTAATAACGTAGGGCGACAGGTAGTGAGTCTTGCAGTACTTCCGTGTACCTTTTCATCACAATCTTACTCATCGTCAATGGACTCTTGAGATGTCAATAGAGGAGATTCCCATGAACTACACAATTACCTTGGATAGACACTTTTTCCGGATCCAGCCTTCGTATATATCATTAGTGTTATAACTGCAACTGGAGCTGAGGGGATTCGCATGGATTCGGACATCCGTCTAAATTTATTCTTAAAGAGAAAGGATTGTTCTAACCGCAAATTTTCCTAACGACTCTTCTAAAGGAAATGGGCAAAATAAATTTTTGTTTTGTTTTGGATGTGGATTGCAAGAAATTAGCGTTCGAGCACTTTTCTTTTAGAACATGGACTAAACCTGAAGGTATTCACCGAAATCTGCACATCATGAGCACCAGTCAAAACAAGAAACACACTACGACTTCAAGCAAGATCATTACTGACACTACCATCACCACTGGTGCTTCCACAACCTCTAGTACTAAGACACCTGCTGAAAAGTTGTCGCGCCCCTCTCATCTCACTTCCACTCCGGACTCAACTCAACGCACAAAGAAAGTGAGCTCTCGACGCGCTACAACTACTACAGCTGAGGTCAAAACCTCCTTCCCTGACTCTGACACCGAGCCCAGTGACATCTCTACTGCATCTTCTTCTTCGTCGTCCTCCTCTGCCATGGCAAATAGCCAGATACCTTCGGAAATGCAGTCCTCCGTGACCAGTGAGTACCGTGTCTCTTCCACCTCAGTCGAACTGCCTCCCACTTCATTAGACGATACCTCCACCCCAACAAATGATGTGAAAGCAGAGTTAGGAGAGAAGGAGAAGGGAGCAGAAAGTGAAAGATCCATTGATTCGACAAACTCCAATGCGGCGACAACAGGGGAGGACACAGGCACCAATTTAATTGTCAACTACTTGCCACAGAATATGACTCAAGAAGAAATAAAAAGTCTCTTCTCCAGCATAGGTGAGGTGGAGAGCTGCAAACTCATCCGTGATAAGTCTACATGTGAGTTTCGTGAATGTGATAGTGAGACTATTTTTTTTGGCTAAAAAATTACCGTTACCACTTCGATCCGCTGCCCTAATTTCCACGTTCACTTCGATTTACCTAAGCCTTTTTAAAAATGGTTCATTAGCACAAACCGTTGCAGTCGGTCAAGACATCTCGTTTATTTTGGCACCGAAGCAAACTCTTGTGCTGTTGAGGTGTGTTGCAAGACTGACTGGATGTGGCAAACTAAATAACATACTGTCCGGGTTTTGAAGCTAAAGCGAATGGCATTCTGCATAAAATTTCTTTCAGTTCAAGTCACATAAACTGCGTAAAATATTCTCAAACAAAGTAAACTGATGCCATTGGCCAAGTGTATAGGCTGTTACAATTTCGACGGACATGGAGGGGGGGGGGAGCATTTGCTAACTTTGTTATGAGTCTCAGATGTTTTTATTCTTTTTCATCCGTGACATTTATTATACCTTTATACTATTGACAGGCTTGACAATGCGCCTCTCACAGTTATTCCAAGCAGCATGTTTCCATTTTTCTCAATGAGAGGAATAAGTAGCATAAATGCTGCAGCTAAAACTGTAGGAGGTCACTCTACAGAACTCTCTTGACAATCGAAAGGACGTTTTTAAAGCGAGTGTACAGAGTCTGGATTTGGCAACCCGATTTCGTATAGCACTTAGCAGACCTTTTAATAATTAATGAAACATTCCTAAATTCCGTGTTTGGAACCAAAGACGAATGCAAAACTTGAGAGTTTTGTCAACTGAGTTTATTTTCAACACATTTGTAAATAATTTCTTTTAAATCATCTTCGAAACTGGAAATGGAACTTAACCTCTTCATCATGTTTTATGCTTATCGACTATCATCATTGAACAAGTAAATCAGGACCGTTGAGCGCTGTGTTAGGCAATGAGTTCATGATAAGAGCCCAGACAGTTGCAGTCGAGTGTCTTCTCTGCTATGACTATTCACGGCTTAGCACCGTTTCAAAGCCAATATAGGCCTCCCCAAAGCCATCCATGCTGATTTAAAAGTTGTCTTAAAAATTGCTTTGGAATGAATGATCCAAACACTGAACTTGTTGAGAAAAAAAAACTTGAATCGGAAAGTTTGTTTACCTTTCAAGGTTGGTAATGTAGCGCCCCGATCTTTTCCTGTTGTCAAAAGTCGTAGTACTAGACCAGACAATGTATTACCGACGTAAAGACGGGCTGAAGGGGGCTGCTGATGTGTCAGGAGGTCTTGCCGCCCAGCGGAAGTACAATCGCGGAGCCTTCAGTACATGTGCAACCGAGACGCTGAGTTAAACAAACAGTGATGCGATTAAGGCATTCACTCTACCGGTATAAAATGATACATCCATAGGCAATGGCAGTGGTAAAATCCATTCATTTTATCGGATCGTAGTTGAATCTATCAACGCTAAACACTGGTACTTCCTCAACTTATTTAATGCCACCTGGAAGCATCGAGATGGTTTTTAAATTTGCTGTCAATTTTGGGAGGATTCGACGTTGTCCCGCATTGAATGGTTCGGTGACTAACGCGATGAGTCATCCGGCAGAACCCGACAATGTACGCATACCTTCACCAGCCCATGTCAATCCAGAATAGGAAGAATCTCTTTCACTTGAACAAACAATACCCTCCTTGGTGAGGTTAGTAGAGGCGAAGACGGACCTAAATGAATAGGTATCAGCAGGTTGGTGCATGTGAGGCCGTGAAAGTGGATTTGATTCAAGACTACCTTGTCAGGAACCAGGGCGGCACCGTGAATATCCCCTCACGGAGCCGATTGGCATTTTATCACTAGGTAACATTTTAATGTCGGACACGAATCGAAATAATAAGTTTTTGTTGTCAAATACGTTTTTAAATTGATGTTGACCTGTCACTTCCAATAGCGTCTAAAATGTTACTGCATTCTCACTCATGTGGGTTTTCCTGAGATGGTTATTGCGTCTACAACTGAATATTCTTTAAAATGAACTTAAAGTTAAATTTACGCGAACGGATTTATATCCCAAGTCCTTCTAATTTCTGTGTGCAAATCTTTGAAAGGAGTAGCATTTGGTTTTCTATTAAAGAACAACTAACTAACTAATTGCTTGTAATAAACTTGACCATTTGCTTGTCCCAATGTTAAGATCTAATGATCACATTTCGGATTCATCGTCCACGGTAGCGGTGACTTCCTTTCTTTGTCTAATAAAACATTAATAGTGCCTTTGAACTGCATTATTACATCGGTTTTGGCATTTTAAATGGGGACACTAAAGCAGCAGTAATTGTCCGCCTTCATTTTAGGGCAAAGATGTTAATCGTTACGCGAGTTATGCCTTACTGCTTTCATATTTCGCCATTATTTTGCAGGCCAAAACCTTGGATATGGCTTCGTTAATTATGCAAATGCCAAAGATGCGGAGAGGGCGATTAATACGTTGAATGGACTTCGTCTGCAAAATAAAACAATTAAAGTAAGTTAACCTTTAATACGTTCCAATTAGGTATGTTGTGTAAATGTTACCGTGTACCGTGTTAAGATCTGGTGTTCTGTAATGCTGAAATCATTCAAGTCCATTTTCGGATATTGGAAATGGAACACTGACCACGTGGAAGTATGCATATTGCTGATTTGCTATTTTTCCTGAGTTTTAAGGCTTTAGTTTTTTTATGCACAGAATAGGGTTTAACGGGCAGCCTTCCCACGGTCGGGTTTGCCTGGGCAACGATCAGGCTTCAGCCAATCAGGTTGCCAATTCATGTTGAGTCATGGGTTCCATAGGCACGACAGGCGGAGTAACTTCCAGCTAAGGAAATGCGTAAACCGACTTTTCTCTAGCATGACTATTGCCCTCGCATTTTTTAGTTGCAGCTGAGAAAAATGAAATCCTAGGAAAAGCGATGTTAACGTAAGCTGCGGAATAAATAGAATCGTTTCGAATAATGTCTATTTTATGGTGATTAATTTGAATCGTAGTGAATATTTTGAACCATATGTACCGAACTGACATGCAGACGTAATTAGAAGGCCATGATAATTGACAACCGGGGCTACAGAGGTGCTATATTTGGATGCCGCCAGATTAGTGCCATTTATGAAGCATGTATCGATGTTTGCTTTTGCACTCCCTGTCACCTTTTGTACATTGAAGATCTCGTGTGCGCATAAAACCCAACCAGTTAGGTCCGTGAAGCTTTGAGGCGATCCTTTCGCAAGGCACATTTACACGTTTATAAGATAACATTAGGAACATGCAGCTGATAAAATCTATTGTGGTTTTCCAGTGTTTATATAAGGCGTTTGATTGAATCTCTGATCTTAAGGTAGAAACAGAGATTCCAAAAAGCAACCGACAAATTGGTTTGATGGATGATTGAGATAGAGAATGACGTACGAACGAGAGCGCTTCCGATGACTAACTTGTATTTTGGCATGAAGATGCGAAATGATTATGCTGTGGAACTAATTACAATGTATATCTGCACTCGGTTGCCAGTGACGCAGTTATCGCACAAGATGTACCAACGAAGTGGAGGAATTTTTGAATTAATTACACCTATCCCTCAAAGCCAACAAATTATCGTTGCTGGGCTACATGCGATCCTGCCAAATATTTCTTTATACAAATGGTACATGAACCTACACAAATTCCATTTGACCCAATTTCAAAGGCATGTGGTCTGCTCTCGTTTTGTGTCGGCTCAGAATAATCGGGTCAGTTTTTTTTCCTGCCCAGGTTTCCCTGGCTCGTCCGAGTTCTGAATCCATAAAAGGCGCCAATCTATACATATCCGGACTTCCGAAATCCTACACACAGCAGGAAATGGAGAAGCTATTCGCATGCTGTGGGAAAATTATCACCTCACGCATCCTTTACGACAACAATACTGGTAAGTGTTTCGCTCGCGAAAATATATAGTGTTCGTGCCTTTTACAGTTCATGCGTTTGGCAGGACGGCAAGAGCGTGCTGCAGCTAATAAAATAAAGTTATTTTTCATTTTATTATGTTTCAACAGTAAGGGTGCAATTTTTGCGTCCCTCATACATGGTCTTGTTGCTTTGATGTCTCGTTTCTGACTGATAACGAACACTTGAAAGTTATAAAAGTCTTGACCGACATTAAGTTTTCACATTTACTGCAAATAGGGAAGGTATCTCCATGCTACTTTATTTGATGAACTCATTTTTTGCATTCGCGATGACCCTCTCACACTTGCAGATAAGTTGCGGAATTGGCTTCTTGGTTGGACTTTGTAAAGACGAGAGTAAATGAAACTTAACAAGTTAAATGGAGCACTACTGTGGTCGCACAGTCTATTCTTTCTGCAGCGATCTATCGTTCGGTGACGTAGTTTGCCTCCATCAATTTTCATCCACGTCATTATGAAGATTTTACTGTATTATAACATTTTTTTCTACGTTACCAAAGTGTGGATTGGGCAAGCTAGCGTGAAAATCCTTCGAACACATGAGAATACACTCTCTAAGCTCCCATTCTAACTCCCACGGCTAAAACTTGGTACCTATTAGAGTAAGAAAAGCCTGACCGAGAACAGCAGTATAATTTACCTACTAACCGCCTCTTTTTTGAAACCTTCAAATGATGACATATTTTTCCCATTCCATTTGATTGCTGCGCCACGAAATCTATGGTTTCTGTGTAGAATTGTCAAAGTCCATTAGTTTTATGATGCAGGGACTACGGTGTTGCCAAAACAATTGTCGTAACCACATCGTTGATCAGAAAGTATCTTCTTTGGCGGATAAGTGTTTGAAGTCCTATTTACCATTTCGTTCAGTCACTCATCCGACTTTAATGTTGCCATTAAACACGGAGTTGATTTAGAGATGCAATTTAACTTTACGCGAAAGCGGTTTTAGCTCAATCGTAATTTTTAGTGAAATTTCGGGGAATGCAAACTGATATGTGACGCAAGAGTAGTGGTGACGAAACATCCTGGCGACCGAAAAAGGGAATACCAAAAATGTGATTGTGTAGCTACTGAATACAGAAACAGTCACTTGCAAATCTGTTTTTGTTTCTCACCTACTAGTCTGCCGTGGTTACAGAACTCTCGCTTTCTCATTTTATTGTAACAACTTTACTTCCTGTTCCATAAATAGGACCCTTGAAGTGATCCTTTCGTGTTCCACGCTTCTGCCTCATTAAGTCGTTTGAAGGTGCACACAAGAGGGCTGCTGGGACAGCAGTTGCCTTGGCCTAAAATTCTAAGCCAATTGACCACTTGATGCCCTCCACAAGGCCAAAGACACTTGAAAATGAAATTATTGAGTTACAGGTGCAAAGTTACATAAAGGTTAAAGTAGTGACAATGAATATGCTGCCACGCCAAGGTGATTGATCGCTTGGTCCTTTGTTTTTCGTAATGCATCGAATTGAATAACTATAAAACCCAGAATTTGGATTCATTTTTCAAATCCGAAGGAAACCACTTTCACACTGATGGTTCCCTAACTAAATAAACTTTTGCTGCCACCTTTTTAATTATTCACAAGACCTTCACCAAAATAGCCGCTTCAATAGGGACATACGATGTTGAGACCAAATCACACCCATAGGCTGGGAACATTTTTGTGGTAAACATGGTGATGATAGTCTCATAAAACATTTAGGTAAAAAGGTATAGATAATTGCTTTTTCTCGGTGCCTTGTAATTTAAGGTCTCTCAAAACATGCTTGGTTTCACTGCAGCATACCAATGAAAGGGAAAATTCACATGAACAGACGCCTGTTTCCAAGCAGACTCGGCGATATTTGTAAATAACTTATATTCATCTTCAAATCTGATACCGTCTGGATCGACTAACATCAAGGCATATTTTAGTTATGCAATTTACTTGGATTACATTCCGAAATTTCCAACTACCAATTTCTTCGCTGGTGTGTGTTGAACTAATTCTCGGGTCTAATATAGTGTGATTTTGTCGTCAGCACGGCGAACTGTTGCAGTTTTTCCCCAAAATCTTGGCTCTCATCCATTATAATTGAGTGTCATGCATTTAGACAAAACTACAGAGTTCATGAGCCATTAAGAGAGGATGGGTCAACTGCCGTTAATAACTCACCTAATCGAGCCAGCATCTCTGCCTCTTAATTACGTTTACATCTGGAGCATCCACATACCAATGTATTCACGCATATTGTGTTTCCTAGCTTCTCTGATTCATTAAAAGCAGAAAATGGAAAGGCACTTGCTTAACAACTTGTTGTTTCACTTGTGTTCCCTTAGGTCTCTCAAGGGGTGTCGGTTTCATCCGCTTCGACCGTCGCAGTGAAGCAGAGCACGCGATTCGTCACTTGAACGGCGCGGTCCCACCCGGTTTTACGGAGCCAATCACAGTAAAGCTCGCAAACTCACCTTCTGGAGGTGGCGGCAGCTCTGTCTCGAACCATGCATCTCTCATCAATCCCGTAATTCACCAACATCATCAGCAGCATCACCAAGGCCTCCTCCTTGCTGCTGCCGCTGCTGCTGCCGCAGCAGCAGTGGCAGCTGGATCGGCGGAGGTCAAAGCCCCCTTGCCTCCTCCCCCTCCACCACCGCCACCGCCACCTCCGCCGCATTCCACCCAGCCTCCCTCCGCCATGGCTTTCATGCACCAGGTTAGTATTCTTGCCTTGGCTAGACGGAAAAGTGAACAATTTTTGTCCATCATCCGTCCCAAATTTTGGCAACTTATTAGTGTTGCTACAACGCGCCGACGTTCACTAAGTTGATGACGCATGGCTTTATCGAGGATAAGTTGTGCGGCTTTGCAGCCTCCTACACTGTTTCTGTTTACCGAGCGCTATGTTGGGTCCTATCTTATTACTTGTGCAAATTTCTCGCCTATACTTCAACAAATGGCTTAAAAGTGAACCGTCATCTCATCGAAGCACCTATTTCTGTCACTTTTTTATCGTCTTAAGGTAGTAACACAAAACTGTCAACGTTTAGTGGTGCTTAAAGTGCATGTCAGCAGTTTGTGCTCCCACATTTTGTGAATTTATGAAACTAGGCAATAACTTGGCCAATGTCAAATGCATTCTTATTTCTTTGCTGGACTAAAGGCACCTTGCTGACCTTCAACGGTTCAAATTATTTCCTCCTCGTCGTGAATGCTACATACCACTACTAATTGCCACATATTCATACCAGGACTTGACGCATTATAGGTTGTGAAGTTAGTTAAGTCTACCTCTCCTTCAAGCCCGACTCGGGCTCCAAAAGAACAAGGCACCGCTTGAGGCAGTGAAGACGCTTATTTAGTCCAAGTTAATGGTGAATCTTCTTGTTTTGTGGTGACAATACCGCAGCGTTAGAGATCAGTTCAGTGCAGTTTCTACTTCCACGAAGGCACAATATAATTGGCATTGTCTTATTCTGTGCGCATTGTTGAGGTGGGTATCGACGTCTTTGCCCAATTCCATTCACAGTGACCATTCAATTCTTTGTGTGAAGGAGATCATGCAAGAACGTTACTCCTTAACATTACAACTTAGCATACCTCTCCCTCATTTAGCTATCGATGTTTCATGATCATCGAGAAGCCTTTTCACAAGTTAGCTGTTTCCTTCATATTTTTATTGTTAAACATTACCATTCCATTGCATATTATCTGCCTTTTCAGATAATTCTATGGCTCAAAAGGCCAAACTTTAACTGCAAAACCATGACCTAAGCTCCAAAGTCGACATAAAAGTATCCCACAAATGTATTTTAAGGGGATAGA